GGGGTCCGGGGACATAGATAATGTTGATGGATTATTTCATCGCTTTTGGAAAGAGCTTCCGACAGTTTGGCTGCATTTCTATTTTGCCGTGTGGCACTTCGCTGCAACAGTGCGAGTGTGCTCTCAATGGCCTGGTCATCAAACGCATGGATAGACTCGTGGGGTAGGGGGTGATGGGGTTGAGGAAGGGGGTGAAAGGGGTTGAGGAAGGGGGTGAAAGGGGTTGAGGAAGGGGGTGAAAGGGGTTGAGGAAGGGGGTGAAAGGGGTTGAGGAAGGGGGTGAAAGGGGTTGAGGAAGGGGGTGAAAGGGGTTGAGGAAGGGGGTGAAAGGGGTTGAGGAAGGGGGTGAAAGGGGTTGAGGAAGGGGGTGAAAGGGGTTGAGGAAGGGGGTGAAAGGGGTTGAGGAAGGGGGTGAAAGGGGTTGAGGAAGGGGGTGAAAGGGGTTGAGGAAGGGGGTGAAAGGGGTTGAGGAAGGGGGTGAAAGGGGTTGAGGAAGGGGGTGAAAGGGGTTGAGGAAGGGGGTGAAAGGGGTTGAGGAAGGGGGTGAAAGGGGTTGAGGAAGGGGGTGAAAGGGGTTGAGGAAGGGGGTGAAAGGGGTTGAGGAAGGGGGTGAAAGGGGTTGAGGAAGGGGGTGAAAGGGGTTGAGGAAGGGGGTGAAAGGGGTTGAGGAAGGGGGTGAAAGGGGTTGAGGAAGGGGGTGAAAGGGGTTGAGGAAGGGGGTGAAAGGGGTTGAGGAAGGGGGTGAAAGGGGTTGAGGAAGGGGGTGAAAGGGGTTGAGGAAGGGGGTGAAAGGGGTTGAGGAAGGGGGTGAAAGGGGTTGAGGAAGGGGGTGAAAGGGGTTGAGGAAGGGGGTGAAAGGGGTTGAGGAAGGGGGTGAAAGGGGTTGAGGAAGGGGGTGAAAGGGGTTGAGGAAGGGGGTGAAAGGGGTTGAGGAAGGGGGTGAAAGGGGTTGAGGAAGGGGGTGAAAGGGGTTGAGGAAGGGGGTGAAAGGGGTTGAGGAAGGGGGTGAAAGGGGTTGAGGAAGGGGGTGAAAGGGGTTGAGGAAGGGGGTGAAAGGGGTTGAGGAAGGGGGTGAAAGGGGTTGAGGAAGGGGGTGAAAGGGGTTGAGGAAGGGGGTGAAAGGGGTTGAGGAAGGGGGTGAAAGGGGTTGAGGAAGGGGGTGAAAGGGGTTGAGGAAGGGGGTGAAAGGGGTTGAGGAAGGGGGTGAAAGGGGTTGAGGAAGGGGGTGAAAGGGGTTGAGGAAGGGGGTGAAAGGGGTTGAGGAAGGGGGTGAAAGGGGTTGAGGAAGGGGGTGAAAGGGGTTGAGGAAGGGGGTGAAAGGGGTTGAGGAAGGGGGTGAAAGGGGTTGAGGAAGGGGGTGAAAGGGGTTGAGGAAGGGGGTGAAAGGGTTTGAGGGAGGGGCTGATGGGCTTGAGGGGGGGTGAAGGGGTTCAGGGGGTGTGAAGGGGGTGAGGAGGGGGTAAGCTGGCTGGCTATCACCTCCCCGCAGCAGTAACCACAGCAGCGCGATGCTGCCTGTCAATTACCGCCGCAGCCACCGTTTTCGGATCCCGCGACGGGCCCAAGGGATAATAAAACAATTGAACCGGAGTGTTTTCAATTAAAACGGAGCGATACGGGACACGGCGGGACGGGTGAAGGAAAGAGAACATTATTGAGCAAGACAATATGGCGCGCAGTGTGGTTGGTTTGTGGCTCTGGAGGACGTGACAACAGTAGTGCCAGCCCCGCGAGAACCACCCCCCTCGGCCACTCTTAATGGCGAGATATCTCTTCCGCGCAACAGAGGAAGAGGGCGCGTCGCGCAAGTGGGAATAGAACCAGCACGACCGGACTGTACTCTTGGAGAATATTGAAGAAAATGCGACGGAGAGAGAGGAAATAATAGGGGGGG